CATCTAGGTCAATTGGCATAACAAAGTTTATTAAGAAAATGTTCTGAATCCTACTTTGGTGAGTGGCGTCTGGGGTCTTAAAAGCTAGCAAGCAACCATCTAAGATGCATCAATTTGTCCCAACTGCCTGGAGTAAAGGAGAATGAAGAACACCAAAGACACAAGGAAAAGATAAGCCCAAGAGACAGAAAGGGCCACATAAACCAGAGACTTCATCAGCCTGAGACCAGAAGAACTAAATGGTGCCGGGCTACCACCAATGTGTGCCTATTAGCTCAAGTAGATACAAGAAACTAAATGGGCAGCTTCTGCCCCGAGGTGAGTTGAGAAGGCAGAAGAGGGTCAGGAGCTGGTTGAATGGACACAGGAAATCAGGGGTGGAAAGGAGGAGTGTGCTGTCACAGTACAGGGAGAGCAATTAGGGTCACATAACAATGTATGTATAAATTTTTGTATGAGAAACTAGAAATGTAAACTTTCACTTAAACTACAACAATTAGGAAAAAAAAAAAAAGAATATAGGAAAAAGACGCCCCTGCAGTTGAGGCTCCTTTGAGCCCATTTGGGTGTTTTCTGCCAGCCTGTCCCCTGACCTCGTGCTGGCATTCACGTCCTGGACCCCCGTGCACACCGCCTCCACTTTCCCGCTGGACCCTTGCCCCGGCCTCCGCAGGCCCCCCCAGAGGCAGCCGTCTCCGCTCTCCACCTTGCCGCCCTCAGGCCTCGCCTGGGCCTACTGTCCCCATTTTACAAATTTGGAAACTGAGGCTATGAGAGGTGGGTACCTGCCCACGGGCCGGCCAGGTGCCCCCAGCCGTCTGGCCCCGGTTCACCCCAACACCTCGGCCGCCCTTGCCCCTCCCTCCCCGCCCACAGCTGCCGCGCGAGTTTCCGGGCAGTCCGAGGCCTTTCCATTCTGTTGCGCAGTGAGGGACTCGGGGCGGGCAGAGGATTTTAATGTTCAAGTCGTCCCAGCCTCCCGTGTTTCTCGGTGGTTTCTCCTCGCTTTAAAGCTCATAAATGCCTCTCCCAGAGAGCTTTGGCGAGCATTTCCTCCTCCTCTTTCTCTAGCTTCCTTGAGGCTTGCGGCTTCTCAAGTCGTCTGCATTCCCGAGGGAACAGTTAGGGCAGCCGCGCTGCAGACCCCAAGCGGGCCGCGTCCCGGGCCGCGGGACCTATCCACGCCCCTCGTCTTCGCCCCGCCCAGCACCTCCGCCTCTGGCCCCGCCCCGCCCCCGCCCCTGTCCCGGCTCCGCCCCGGCCCCGCCCCGGCCCCGCCCCCACCGCACGGAGCCCTTGCCCAGTCCCAGCCCCGCCCTGCCCGTTTAGGACACGCCCCTCCTTTTTTCTCCCACCCCCGGCCCCGCCCAGACCCCGGCCTGGCCCGGCCCCGCCCGCGTTTGGGTCCCACCTCGCCTGGATCTTGTCCTGCGGGACCATCCACACCCCCTCGGCCTCTGCCGCGCCAGTCGCTTCCTTCGACCCCGCCCTCAGCCCTGGCCGCCCTCTCTCGGCTTCCCTAGCTCAGCTCCACTCCTTTCTCCATCCTGAATATTCTAGGGCCAGGAGTGGGGCGAGTCTCAGGGTCATGAGGTTCGGGGGAGGCCAGGACAGGGGAGCAGCTCCAACCTTTACTGTTTGGCTCCTGGACCTTGGTCGCTAAGCAGCGATTAGGGGCAGGAGGGGACCGCCCGGCTGACTGACCGTCCGCGCCGCAGGCCTGGGGCGGATAGTGATTCCGGGAGCAGCACCCTCTTGTGGGACAGGACGGTGCCTGGCCTGGAGGCTGGCTGAGTGGCCTCCTGGGACACCCCCCCAGGGGCCTTTCTGTGTGTGTGTGTCGGGGGGGGTGGAATCTCTGGTGTCCAAGTCTGTCCCGCCGCCGCCCACGGGAGACAGAACTCTCCGAGCTGCGCGCATACGTGCAACATCTCTCCCCACCCTTGAGGGACTTTCCCCCTTGTTCCGTGAATGAGGTGGTGGTGTCTGTCCCTCCAGGGACCTTGGGCGAGACTACGCTTCTCTCAGACACAGACGGAGAGGGGCTGGGGGTTACTCACCTCTTGGCCTGGACACTGAATTGCAAAGAGACTAGGAGGAAAGGGAACAGCGTGCTGTCTGCGCACGCCGCACGCCCGAGTGCACCCCCAGCCTCCCACCAACGCCTCTGCTTAGCGCCCTCTATGCTGGGGTGTGCCCGGGACCCTAGAAACTGCAGGCAGCATGTCGTGTTTGTGCCTTTTCCTGGGAAACTGTCCCCCCCACTCCGGGAAGGCTCCCAGTGGGACTCTCGGTGGTCGTGCCCTGCTGCTCTGTCTTGGGTGCCCTTCCCTGCTCATCTTCTAAGATTCGTGGGGGGAGGAGGGCCTCTAGGAGTGGCCAGTGGGGTTGGGCTGTGTGCCTGGCCCTGCTCCCATTTCACAGATGGGAAACCAAGGCAGTGGGGCTGTGACTTGGACCTTGCTGGAATGTTCCCACTGTCCTCCACCACCATGTTGCCTTTAACTGGACCCTGGGCCGAGGTCAGGACCAGCTGCCTCCACCGAAGCCCACCCCACGGGAGCCTGGGGCCGGCACATGGCTGGTGCCCACAACTCTCCAGCTGCCGAGGCCACCTACCACAAAGTCAGGGGTGGCTTTGAGTGAAGCCAGAGACCCCACCCGAGGAGCTCGGCCCAGGGGTAGATGAAGGGACCCTGGCGGAAGGTGTGCCCCAGCCCCACCACAAGTACCTCACCCCTTGATCAGAAGCACGATGATGATGGTGACCACCATGGCAAAGGGGATGACGGGCAGGAAGGTGAGGGAAGCCCAGCAGAACCTGTCCACCCAGGGAGTCCTCTGGCCCAGGCCCAGCCCTGCAGCCCCAGGCCAGATTATTGCTGGGCTGTATGCTGGACCTTGAGCTGTCCCTCTTCCCTGCAGGCCTGCCTCCTCCACCCCCACCTGCAACTGGCTCCGCGAGGGTATTAATGCAGGGACCCCACCCCATGTCCCCTCCCCCTCACCAAGTACCTCGGAACCTGTGCCAGAGCCACACCAGGCTGACAGTCAGCCCCAGGTGGGAGACCCAGACCCAGGCCACAATGTGCATCAGCTCCCATAGCCACGGCTGCCCCTGGAGGAAGCGCTGTGGACAGATGCACGTGCACGCGTGCACATGCACACACAGGCACCCAGGCACGTGCACACACGAACAATACACATATGC